AAAATAGTCAACCCTTGGTCAAAGTCAAAGTCAACGATCAAGGTCAACAGTCCATGTTGACACGACTCATCGAGTGCAGTCACTGACTCGTCGAGCCCTTCCAGAACTCGAGTAGTCGTGAAAACCCCCCACTGACTCGTCGAGTTTCTCAGCAACCCGCCGAGTTCATGCGCCAAAAGTCGGGAAAACCCTAGCTTTTCCGAGTCACCCTACCGACTCGCCGAGCCCACGATAATCTTCATCGGACTCACTGAGTTGACCATGCAACTCGCCGAGTCCCTTCAGTCCATATCCATACAGATGATTATTAAACCATCTTAAGGTTCCATATTGCAGATCCAGTTTCCAAAGGCATGTTTATCACGTAAAGTTGCAAACTTTACGTGCATGCAAGGCTCTAAAGTCTTATAATGACAAAACCAAGCTTGTAATGGAGTTTTACACTTAAGGACAGGTTCACACTTGCTAAAGCTGAAAGCTTTATGGACTTAGAGACCCAAGAGAGCTCAGATCTGAAGTTGCAACTTCAAATCTTAGCTCATACACAAGAAAAGCTTCCTAATATGCTAGAAAAGCCCTAAACTTCACCCAAATGAGACCTAGAAGGAAATGAGGTCAAGATAACGACTTGATACCTTCAATTGATGCTAACTGAGGTAGATTTCTGATTCCCACACGTTCCTTGCTTCTAGTCACTTGTTCTCCAAGCTATTCTCACCAAGAATCCTCTTCCAAAGCTTAAAACACATAAATAGAGCACACACACATGTATTATGGTTTTCTGAGTTCTCAAGGGACTATAAGGAAGCCAAAGGAGGCTAATGATCCCTTAAATAGGGTGCAAAACCCCCATAAATTAGGGTTTTATCCTCCAACTCCTACTCGTCGAGTCCCTTCTTGGACTCGGCGAGTAGATCACTTAAACACGTGGACCAACCCGCTGCTACTATACAAGTCAGGGCAACCAACTCGTCGAGTAGACCTTGAAATCATGAAAATTTATAACCATAAATCAATACCTAATAATCGGGGCGTTACACTCAATCAAGCATTACCCTAGCTCACATCTCACACCAAACAAAGAAGAGTCTAGCATGCAACACCCTAGATATCATTACACATAAAACATTTCAACAATAATGGCATAACAATCAATCCTCAAAAGGGGCACATGCATCCTAGATAACTAGGTTCATCCCAATCCATCTAAGATATGTAATACTCCTAACAATATACTTTTAATACCACAAAGCTGACTCACCTTAGTCAAAGATGTGTCCAACTCACACTTCAAGTCTTGTAAAGGTTGAAGTGTCACCCTCGCTCCTATTACAATACAAATAAAAAGGTTATTGGAGTTCTACAATGTCAAAGATGACAAATCCATACATTCTCAAAAGCACCTAACACAATCATATGTATTTGTAAACCCTTACACCAAGCGATCAAATATAAAAATAATCATTAATTTAGTCTAATAACTGATTATAAACCCAACAATTATTTTTATTGTTAACAATCATCTCCTCGCCTTGATCAATAATTTCGTTTTACTCATGTATCCACAAATCATTTGATCTCTTTATTAACCTGATGAATAAATTATAATTCATAAAATTTATCGACTTATATATAATATGGCATATGTATATATTTGATTAAAACAATGAAATACATATACTAAAATTAAAATCTAAGCCACTATAACTCCACTTAATTTTAATAATTAACAAGGTAAATGTATCTTTCTTCTTTTCGTTATAGTCATAAGCAAACTTGAGAGCTCATCCTAGTATTTTGTTTAATATTATTAGACAGGGAAGTTCTTATTACTTGTTGGGTGTTGTATTTCATGCAACTAGCATGTATCCTCAGCCATTATAGACTATAACTTGATAACGAAGGAAGAAGCACGTAAACAATGTAAAACAACCCAATCACAACCACCCTTTGCACGATGGTGGTGTTGTGGCGGAATCCGGCAGCCATGGCTGCCGGTGGTGGTGATGACGAGAATCGAACCACAAAAAGATAGCACGTGATACTAGAATCTTACCACCACGATGTACGGCCAGAAAACACTTCAACCCGCTGCCTTAATAGGCTTATGTCGGAAACCAAGGGTTACTGGAATCTTGCTGGAAACCTAACCGCTCGCCAGAAAACCTTCACAGCTAGCCGACAGCCTCTCCTCTGCTTCTCCCTCCCTGCTTCTCTCTCTCTCTCTCTCTCTCTCTCTCTCTCTCTCTCTCTCTCTCTCTCTCTCTCTCTCTCTCTCTCTCTCTCTCTCTCTCTCTCTCGGATAACGAAGCAATCAGATGGAAGAGTGTAGCCGTTTTTTTCCAAGAATGGCGGGACGACATTAAAGACATCGGGGTAACAGACGAAGAAAGATGAGGAAGAGATACGTCCGTTTCTTGTTTGAGAGTTATTAAATGAACTTAAAACTTTGGTCCCTAAGTTTGTTCCATAATAACGATTTAACCCCAAAATCCAAAAGCACCTCATTTTATTACTTCCAAGAATATCACTTTAACGCCTGGACTATATTTATACCTTTTACGGGTTATATTTATGGTAACTATTACTATAATTAATTAATTAATTTAAATACCTTTTAATTATTAACTCATTCTTTTAAAATATTAAATTAACAACCTTTCTATTTAATTTACTCGTTTTATAACTTAGGACCGAAATAACTTGACAACAATTAATTTCCGAATAATGGAAAGCTAACATCATTGACGGAAAGATTTTCGGGACGTTACAAAGGTGGGTTGCACCTGATCCTACATCGGCTTGGAAGGAGAACAAAACACTTTATTATAAAGGGGTGTGGATACCTTCCATGTCACAACGCGTTTTAAAGCCGTGAGGGCAGCAGATCCCATATGAACTATGCGGTTAAGTGTGCTCAGGCAAGAGCAATCCAGGGATGGGTGACTTCCTGGGAAGTTCTCACGCCGGGAGCCCAAAGCAGAAAATATTGTGATATGTGCTAGAGGGGGATGTTAAAAATGGTATCAGAGCTAGGGCACGGGTTGATGTGTTAGACAGGGACGTCGAACCCTATAATAGGGGGTGAAGGTGGGTTGCACCTGATCTCACATCGGCTTGGAAGGAAAACAAAGCACTTTGTTATAAAAGGGTGTGGATACCTTCCTTGTTACAACGCGTTTTAAAGCCGTGAGTGCAGCAGATCACATAAGAACTCTGCGGTTAAGCATGCTCGGGCGAGAGCAATCCATGGATGGGTGATCCCCTGGGAAGTTTTCACGCCGGGAGCCCGAAACATACAATATTGTGATATATGCTAGAGGGGGATGTTACATGTTTTTATTGAGTCGTGCATTCCTCTCTGAGCATTGAGGACAATGCATCATTTTATGCTTGAGAAGTGGTTAGTGTAAAACTTTGCATTGTTGTTAAAATTATAAAATTTTCAAAATTTTCAATTTTATTTTTTGCATTTTCATAAAAATTCAAAAAATCCAAAAATCTTTTTTATTTTATCCTTTTATGCATTATATAAGAAAAAAACCCTAAAAATATATTTTTAGCTCTTTTAGTGTTTATTTTCTGCATAATAAACATAAATTTTTTTGGAAAAAGTTACATGAGATGAGGAAATTCTTTACATTCGATAGCTCTGTAAAGATGGAAAATGAAAGTCCGAAGCGACCGGATCAATAGCGGTAAGTTCAGTAATATTTCTCATAACTAAGGGTTGCAAAACACCGAGAGTCAAGCCGCTGATTGTATAAAATAAAAAGATTTGTATACCGGAACACTGCGTGAGCTGGGATAAAAAAGTTCAGAACTTATTGCTTTTGATGTTTAACAAGAACCTTGCTTGAGAAGTGTGGACCCACAGAACACGGACCTATTTGTTGACACACGTTACATTCACGGTAACAGAGAGCCTTATATCAGATCCACATAGTAAAAAATAAAATAAAGGGAACAAACTGTCATATCCATTACCCAAGTCAAAGTTCAAGCACTTAATCAAAGAAATATCAAGAAATTCAAAAAGACAATTGAAGAACTCAAGGTCGCAGGCAAAAGATACAAAGAATCAAGTTTAATCAATTTAGAGGTCGCCTCAAAGTCAAATCTGGCACGAATGTAGAACTGTGAGATATGATATTTTTTGCTCTCGGAAAAGTGAATGCATAGGAGTTGGGCCCCTACGGGTGGGCTCACTGCTTTAGCGAAAGCTAATTTAATGTGACGGGTTCTTAAGGATACGTCGAGCATGGTTCTTAATTATTTAGTCTTAAGGACATGAAATTCTAAAATATCTTATTTTCGCTTGCAAGGCTAATTAAGGTTTAAATTTTAAATATTCGTGACGATTGGTTTATTGGTTCCCACCGTTGAGCTTCTTCCCGAATTTGGGAGTCTATGAAAGATGGAATGTATTGGGATGATTGTCTAGGTAGTGATTTCATTGGAGATTCCTTGATTTAAGGTCTGATCATGTGAAAAAAAGAAAGAAAGTGAAAGAAGAAAAAAATGAAGTGTTTTATTAAAGTTCAAGTTTTCACTTTCCTTAAAGTTATTTAGTTTTTATTCTAAGTTCTTTTTAGGTCATTTACATCTTTCCATTTTATTCATAATATCTAATCTTTTTATTACTTGAGGGCAAGTAAGGTTCAAGCTTGGGAAGATTTGATAGATTCCATTTTATGCATCTTTTAGGATAATTTTTATTAACATTTTACTTCATATTTTATGTTATTTCATTTATATTAGCTTAAATAATGTTCAGCTCATGTCTTTCGTCAGAATTTCTGTACTGCTCATGTTTTGATGTCATTTTCAGATTATTCGAGTGGAGCAGTAATATAACATCCCAAAATGCGAAGATAAAATTTTCATTTTTATAAAACCAAAAACACTTAATTATCATTTATTCAACTCTTAAAGTAGTTTATAAACTAGGGAAGAATCCCCGCTTTGCGGGGTTGGATACGACAATTTTTTACATATTTCTTAAGACAACTAATCCTTTAGTTTTGGTTTCCAGAGCACCTGATGAGCTACATTTATGGCACAAAATAGTACTTAAACATGTATTATTCCTTTAAGCTTCTTTACATAGAATGATCATGCTTCTTTGCCGTTTACTAAAAAATCATATAACTATCTTTCTGATGATAAAGAGCCAAGTATAGTCCATACCACTTACGACCCAAGTGAGAAATCTACAAATATACAAATATAATTTCTGCCAATTAGCCCAACATATGGCTTGATCCATGATTGCAAATGGAGATGAACTTTCAAGATCTTTAGCCAATTTCTCAGTGGCTATAACTTCTACTGATTTCTCCACCACATCTGATACATACACCAAGGGCATTCTCGTCCTTTTACACATTAGAGGTTGTGTTAATGTTGTTAATAACTTGTCTTATGCATACCTATTTACATAAAATCACCCATGGTATATATGGTATTTTTTGTTTTTTATGTTTTTTAAAAGGTAATATTTTCAAAACATAATTAATTGCGATCATTTTCTCAGTTTTTTTCTAATAATTTGTAAATTTACTTTTTATCTTACATGCCAATGTGATTATTACGAAACATGATAAAGTTAGGTCATAATTTACATAATTATTCAAGTTTAGGTTATAAAGATAGTAATTCTAAATGAACGAATGAAGACTTAAAAATGATACCTTGTACATCATTACCTTTTATCTTTAACAATTTTTTATTATTTGATATTACTGATAATAAATTTAGAATTGCCAAGTGCCAAAAATTCGTTTTTTATTCAATTTATTATACAAAAAAGTGTGTGGTTGTTTAAAGAATGGAAGTAATGATTCACCTGCAATGTTTTAATACCCTTTCTATGCAGGCTGAAAAGCTAGAGAACTCATCCTCTTGCTCCCCACAATAAAGCCAAAATTCGTGTAGAAATTCCTATAAGAAATCATAGTAAATAGATCAGATTGATTTGGAGATGATGACATGAATATGCGTTAAATCAATAACTGAAAATTGTGATTGTCATGGAAGAACATTTAAAAACTTACAGTTGTTAGCAGTTTAGATGCAAAGTAGATGCAATTGAACTAAGAAAACCTGTAACAATTGAACCTGATCAAAATGACGGATATGATAACAGTTAATGGATAAAAAAAGAAACTGAAGTTATTTCCAACATTTGTGCTATAATCTTCAAAGAAGCTCTGCTGTAAATGAAATTCATTCGATCTTCTTCTTTTCATACCTGACGCCTCCTATGGTAATATGGATCCAAATACCTAAACAAAAATCAAAACATTACCAAAACAAATCCGTTGAAGTACCTGCTACTTGTAAGAATGGCAATCATTGTTGTATAAATGATAACAATAGGGACCACAATATTGTCCTTGTTCATTGATGTACATCCATCTACTCACATATACAGGTTGGGCATACTCAACATGACTTTTGTTGGTAGCATCGTAAAGGTGGAGATCATTTTCATTACTACCACTTGCCTGACAGTTTGTGTCCATTGCACACTGCATATATCACCCTGTGTGTCGAAGATAGAATAATAACAAAACTGTTAGAATTCAAGAGCCCATACAGATGTGCATAATAATATGAAGCAATAGTATCTTTAGATATTCAACACTTTCTAAAAGAGTAATTAAACCCAAAAAATTGCATTACATTTGGGGTCGGTGACACTTGACGAATGGTTAAGGAGTATGTGTTCCTAATTTTAATGAAAAGTTAAGAAAACATGTAAAACCAACACTGATTTGTACAATCACCATGATCATGAAGAAGAGGAGCAGGAAAATCGAGGTTAAGACAAAAAAAGAAAATTAACGGGAGGCATGAAACGTCTGATTTCGCTGTTACCTGGTTTAAAGAAACCAAAAGTCCAAAATTATTAAAGGTTGTGCAGTGGATTAGTTTCATTGAGGCAATTAATCAAACACTTGTTATGCACTTTAAATAAACATCAACCATGACAAAGGTTTTGTCACTTACCTATTTGTAACGTAAAATCCACTCAAGCTAAAGCAGCTGTAATAGATGGAGAGCAGAGACAGAAAGTTGGTGCTTGAATGAAGTAGATGACCTGGTATTTGTCTCTGATTGTAGAAAGTTGGTGGTCTGATAGAGCTTAACTTTTGTTGTTTTTCTGTGTATATGGGTCGTTCTAGAATCCAGATACAGCCCCTCCGTATTCCCCACATGACCTCACTCCTCCCCATCATTCCTATCTGTAGGCAAATGTACCGTAAATTAGCAATCAGACAAAAAGTTAGGGTTTTTTCTTATAGGGTTATAACAACGAAATCAAAGGAATCGAACATTAGAAACATTAACCGAGTTAGGCGTTGGGTTTCTTGGCAAGACGATAGTTTCTTCAATAAATCCAACCTTTCGTTTTGACCATGAGACAACGCAAAAGAAGCCACACCTCCACATTGAAACCGACTTATGGCCATGGCCCTGGCGGGTCCGCCGTCTTCTTCTCCCCGTGATTCTGACGCTGTTGAATGAAGAAAGGAGAGTCGATGAGGAAATACCCAGTTGTTTGTTTCAATTGAGGTAGAGGAAGTGAGCTAGAGGGAGAGGCGGTGGTGGATTTCTCGAAGAAGCGGAGGAGATTGAATATGTGAAGTAAAGAGGCGGTGGAGTCGGTAGATAGATGAGGGAAGTGTGGGGGACCGGTGGACTATTGTTATCGGGGGAATAGTGTCGGTGTTTTTGGCTATATGAAGAAAAGTCCCATCCCACATTGCTAGAAGGATGAAAGCTTGGGAGGTGTTAGTTATTTTTTTCAAAGTCCCTAGGCTTTGGTTTCAAAGCACCCCAACCAACAATACACCATAAGTCCCTAGGCTTTGGTTTCAAAGCACCCCAACCAACAATACACCATAAGTGATTGGTTATTTTTTTCTTTCTTTTATTATTGAGTGGTGAAAGTATTAGTTAAAACTTTGAGAGTGTGGGTGTAATTTGGGGGAGGCTTGAGAGATTAGTTTATGTGATTGTAACAATTTATCATATAGTGAATCTTTCTCTCTGGAGGCCCGTGGTTTTTCTTCGGTTTTGGAGTTTCCACGTATATACTTGTGTTCAGTTTATTTTCTATTATTCTTTTTGGGAGGTTTGTAGGGATTATTGAGGCCATTTTCCCAACAAGTGGTATCAGAGCTTCGGGTTTTGTAGGAGGTCTCGGTTTTAGAAATTGGAGTATGCTCTGTGCTTGCAGCTTTGGCTGATCTTTCACATCAGAAACAAATTTCTAGTAATCGTATTGGAGTTGTCTCGGTACTTTGAAGGTTCGGAGTATGCTCTGTGCTTGCAGCTTTGGCTGATCTTTCACATCAGAAACGAGGATTCGACTAATCGTTTTGTGTACGATAGAGTTATATGCGGGCTGTAAATACGTATATATCCGAAGAAGGTTCTGTCTAAGAAAGATTGGTATTTAAGCGTGTCCATTATGACCCTCCACTCTTATCTGGGAATCCTTTATTGGGTGTATTGCGTATAGGTCTGGTGCATATTTTTCTAGTATACAATACTGTTTTTGAGATACAGATACGATGGCAAAATACAGTCCCATGAAGTTTGATGTAGAAAAATTTGACGGAAGAATCAACTTTGGTTTGTGGCAAGTTCAAGTCAAGGATGTGTTGATTCAGTCTGGGTTACACAAGGCATTGAAGGGGAGACCTGTCCCCGTTTCTAGCAAGGATTCAGCCGGAGCCAGTAAAGTCGATGATGAAGAATGGGAAGATCTGGATTTGAGAGCGGCAAGTGCTATTCGTTTGTGTCTAGCAAAGAATGTTCTTGCAAATGTGCATGGGATCGCAACGGCAAAAGATTTGTGGGAGAAACTTGAGCAGTTGTATCAAGGCAAAGGCATCTCGAATCGGTTGTATCTCAAGGAACAATTTCATACTCTTCGTATGAGTGGAGATACAAAAATCTCAGATCATCTAAGTGTTCTTAATAACATCGTGTCAGAACTGGAGGCTATTAGAGTGGAGACTAAAGATGAGGATAAAGCTTTAAGACTCATACTGTCTTTACCTTCTTCCTATGAGCATATGAAGACTATTTTGATGTATGGAAAAGAGACCCTGAAGTATGCAGATGTTACTGGTAAACTCCTGTCTGAGGAGAAACGACTGCAAAGTAGCAACTATGCTTCGTCAGAAGGAACGGTTTTGGTATGCAGGAACGAGAAGAAGAAACACTCCCAGAAGATCCCGGTATGCTGGAAGTGTGGAGAGTCTGGGCATGTCAAAAGAAATTGTCCAGGTGGAGCAACGAGTTCGACAAAAGGCTCCGATACAGCTAACAGTATCTCCGTCGTTACTGACGGCGATGAATTCTTTTGAGTTGTGTCATCCCTATGGTATGCCCGTGATACCATAGAAAGGGATGTGTTTCTGTTAGCGGGGGAACTGCACATGGGCATTGGATTGGCATAAATGCAAGATGTGTGGTGAAGTTATGTTGATGGCTGATGAACTTCCGGGTATGCCAAGTGGAAGTTGCACCATAAATTTTTCAGCAGGTTTTCAACATGTGTCGAGGTGAAATTCTTAGGATGGTTTATTCTAAGTGGTGATACTTTCTTATGGTGGAGTATGATAATTCTATGCCTTTAGAATTATGATCGTAGATGAAAACAATGTTCCTTTATGTGGTTGCAGTTTTCTTTCATTTATCCAAGGTGAAGATTTGTTGGTGTTTTTGGCTATATGAAGAAAAGTCCCCATCCCACATTGCTAGAAGGATGAAAGCTTGGGAGGTCTCCAAGCTTATAAATAAGGACCTAGGCTTTGGTTTCAAAGCACCCCAACCAACAATACACCATAAGTGTTTGGTTATTTCTTTCTTTCTCTTATTTTTGAGTGGTGAAAGTATTAGTTAAAACTTTGAGAGTGTGGGTGTAATTTGGGGGGAGGCTTGAGAGATTAGTCTATGTGATTGTAACAATTTATCATATAGTGGATCTTTCTCTCTGGAGGCCCGTGGTTTTTCTCCGGTTTTGGAGTTTCCACGTATATACTTGTGTTCAGTTTATTTTCTATTATTCTTTTTGGGAGGTTTGTAGGGATTATTGAGGCCATTTTCCCAACAAATAGAACGGTGGAGGACACCGTGTTGGGGAAAACACAGAAGAAAAGAGTAAAAAAACACGACGGTGGACATGTGGCTAATCTGTGCATGTTTTTGATAGGTGAATGAAACATGTAAAGATGAGGAGCTGTCGGTAGAGCCAGACGTAACTGCATGTGTAATCCACTTAAAAATAGATACGAACAGATAAATAAATAAAAAAGCAAAGCAAAGAAAAAAAATTCATCCAATCACATGGAAGAACTATTCAAGTGCACCTTTAGAATTAGTAAGTATATATAATAAGACATCAGAGTACAGTCCCAAAATCTCTAAGTTGTGAAAAACATGTGGTCCTAAAATCTCTAAGTTGTGAAAAACATGTGGTGTGTGCTCTGCAATCATCCCAAGTTCTTCCATTTGAAAACCATGCGTACCTGAAATCATAACAACAGCTGTAAGAACAAAGCTTAATGAGTTCCCCAAAATACTACACGCAGCACGCCCGATGGGTTATCAGCAACCTTGTAGACCATCCGCAAACTCTGTGGGCTAACAGCACGCCTGGTGGGTTAACAAAAACCCTGAAGACGATCAGCAGTCTTGGTCACATATAACAACATAATATAATAATAATAGCTAGACCCAACGGGTCATCACACATAAAACTATTCTACCACACGGCTCATACAAACATGCAAGGGTCATAAAGACAGCTAACATACAATTATACAGCTAGACCCAGCTAGTTCTTACAGATACAACTATTCTACCACACAGCTCATACTTCACACAATCATGCAAGAGTCACAGAGATATCTAGCATAGAATAATAACAGCTAGACCCAGCTGGTCCACACAACTACAACTATTATGCCACACAGCTCATACAGACATGCAAGAGTCACAGATACATCAACCATCCTACATATATAAATTAGTGAGTCGGCATTGGTGCCTTCGACTCACGAACACGAGGAGAAGACTAACCTCGCGCTGCTAAATCCTGCGGATATATCTCTGGCTGCTGGCTGACCGATCCCCATACTATCAATATCAAATCAACACCCAATCAACATTTGGATTCCAATCCATAACCATAAATCCAACTTAGGGTAAAAAGACAATTTTACCCCTAGCCTAGCTTGGTCCATTACTAAGTCCCAACTCACAATTTGAAAGGCCCAAAGGCCAATTAATTAACCAAGGCCCAAATCCATGGCCCATTTTTCCAAATTAGGCCCAAACCCCTAACATGGGCCTTACCCTAAGGCCCAACCAAAGTTCCTGGTCTAAGACACTCATACTCACATGGCCCATAAAGAACTCGAACACTCAAGCCCAAAAAGGAAGCCCAACATGAAGCCCAAAAGGCCAAAACCCTCCTGACTGAGTACACGGGGCGTACTCATCTGTACGCCAAGCGTACATGCAATCTGGCTTGTATGCTGCGCGTACAGACTTGTACGCCCAACATAATCCTCCTTTAAGACATAAACGACATTAAGCTCTTAATGCTTAAGTCCAGAAGTCCAAACCATAGATCAAGGTCATAAACAACGTCTAGAACCATAAAGTCACGGACTTGGTGACTTTGCATGACCCATACGAACCCATTCTCGAAATATAACCTTCTACTTCCATAAAAATGGCCATAACTCATGCACGGATGGTTCTAAGTCTCAAAGATGACAAATTTATGACTCTAGGACCAGAAGAACACCAAGAGTGGCAACTCGAGCTCCTGGAGTGGTTTCCAAACCACTAGATCTCAATCTTAAGACCAAAAATGAACTAAAAATTTCCCCCTCTTTGTTACAAATCTCCCCCTATTTATTAGATTTCGTCCTCGAAATCATTCCTTACCATTTCCCCCACACCAAACAACCTGAGCAACACGACCACCACCTCAAGCATACCCTAGACTTCCCCAAGGCAACCGAACCTAACCCTCGTAGGGCTCCCCAACCACATATGAACGAATCATATCACTTCCAGAAAGAAAATCCCTTGCAAAATAACCGCACCTACACAAATTGACACCTGAAGTCTCGAGATGGCCTGACTCCCTGACAGACCGCCCATAAAGAACCATTTATAAATCCATTCCACTTATCTCCCATCTGACTACTCAACTTCTGATAGCTCGAGGTTACCATTAGAATACAAAACATAGACCAATTTCGTAGCAAGGCACTTAAACTTGACAGGAGGCTCAGATAATCCGTTGAGTAGGAGACTCATCCCTGTAACGGTTAGACTCAGACGAGAGCTGTGCAACATGGTCAAATCATTTACTCTAAGATTATCCCAACCCAACTGCAAGTGACCTAACATCTCCACTGAATAACAAGCTACTCCACACCAATTCCAAATCAACAATACCGCCTTGACTTATCTTGATGCCCTTCACAAAGAGAACTAATCCAAGACACGATCGCAAGGGCTTGATCTATCATAAAAACTAAATCCATTCCATATTACTTCTTCTGCCCAAGAGACGATCCTGACTGTGCTCACTGAATCCCAACCGAGGTCCGAGAAGTTGCCCCACATTATCATTAGCCCACACATACCACCAACAAACGCAATCCAAACCGAAACCACCCATCAAGAAGAACGAATCTCAATTCCTTTCTTAATCCACTAAC